ACATTCAACGGCAGCACTGAAACTTAACACAGAATACCTTACATTTATGCAAGGTGCTTTAGTATGTCCAAAGTATCATCAGTCTGAAACATTCCAAAAGCTCCTGTTTGATACGAATGCTGTCTCCTTCATCTAAAAGCATTACAGTATTAGACACAATTTTAAAGAGATATATATGATTGACCTAAAAAGCCAAGTTATGTGTATGTGGTTGCAGGCAACATTTCTTTTCCATATTTGAGGTACAAAAATTAATCAGAAAGATTATTTTTCCTTCCTTACAGAAACACTTCAAAGTCTCAGAGGCTGGAGCTCCCAAATGATGCAATAAAGGGTAGATATATCATCAGGTGGTGTTAAGACAATAAAAATAAAATGGCCAAGGAACAGGACTGCTAACAATAACAATATTTTAAACATATGACTATTATGTATCTGTTGACAAGCATCCATTTCCAAGACTGCATTTACATACACATTTTCTCCACCATCATGGCAAGGTTGACTGAGAGAAGCAAAGAGTACTTATTCCCCATTTTACAGATGAAAAAGAAGGCATAAATTACCTGAAAAGCAAAACCGGGTAATCTGTTTAAGGGAATCTATTTTTTTTTAGGAATCTTGGATTATCAAGCAAACAAAGAAGATCTCTTTTCTTTCAGCTACCCTTGGGGAACATTTTGCACATACAATTTCAAATCTGATGGGCAGCTCTAAAGGTCCCTTTGTTGTTGTCTTAAGTACCTTGGAGTCGGTTCCGGTTCCGACTAACAGTGACCCAGTATAGGGTTGCACAGGAGCGGCTTGTGACTTTAAACTGACGACCTTATAGTTGAGTGCTTGTCCTATGGCGCCACACTAGGACTCCTAAGGTCTCTTTTAGACTGAGTTATTTTACACACGAGGAAACTTGGGCCCAAAGAGGCTGCTGAGTAACTTGACTAGTCTGACAGAGACCTATCCGACATGTCTTCAGGCTTTGTTTCTTCTCAATAGAATCATAAACTCAGCAAACTGATTTAAAATATTTAATAGCAGACTTTTGTTCACTCCCCCAAACCCAGAGAGAGCTTCTTCCAGGCCTGCTCCCCAGACATTTGCAGCACCCATTAACTCCAGGCAAGCTCAGGGCTCCCCTTAAACCCTCACCCCGAGTTCTCTAACACCACAAGCAGGCTTGGCGGGGTGTGGTGGGGTAGGGGGTTCGCTAAAATTCAAAGTCAAAATGTTTGCTTGGTCCAGAATTTCTACCGGCACCCTGGAGTCTCCGGTATGACTATAGAAGATCAAACTCTCCTAGAAAAACTGTACAACCTGATGGCAGCAGGGGCGGCTGCCCGGGAGGTTTTCTAGGAGTTTCGGGACTCGGGAGTGGGGCTGCAGGGACCGCCTCAAGTCAAGGTGGTCGGGGCTGGGCGCTGCCACTGCCGCCGGACGGTCAGCGGTTGTTTGTCTCCAACTAGCCACAGGCGGGGTCCTTCCTCCGCTGCAACTGGCGCGCTCTGCTTACAAGTCTTTCTGCTTTGCTCTTCCCCAGCCCCTCCACTCTCCACCCTGGCCCCCTCCCCCACGTCCCTTTCTCTTTCTTTCTTTCCTGGCTAGCGCTCCCCACCCCGCGGCGCCCGCACGGCTGCTCGCCCAATGGCCACGGTGCACCGGCGCACATCATCTGATCAGCCCGGACTCCCGGCCGCTGGAAGCCAATCAGGACGCCGGGGGCGGTCCCTGACCGCTGATAAAGGGTGCCGAGCTCAGAACGGTTCTGCAGAGCCGAGAATGGAAGTGAAACCGAGCGTCTAACCTGTACACCTGGCCATCTCTCCGCTTCTCACCTCGCTCTCGAGGCCTGCCCGCCCTCCAGCCTGCTCGCCGTCCAGGTAAGCAAGCTCCGGTTCCCCCCGGGGCACGGACGGCCGAGCGCTCGGCCCCCAGACGCCTCCCCCGCCGTGGCGTCCTGGCCTTTCTTCGTTCCTCTTTGGCCCCGTCCTTCCTCCAGCCCTCCTCTGCTTTCGGTCTCCCGAAGGGTGTCGGAGACGCCCGCGTGCTTCCGTCGTCGATAAAGCCAGGCTGGTCTGGGTGGCCATTTGTGGGGCGCGCCCTTCTCACGGTTTTGAGAAGGGCTGGGAGGAGGTTGTTTTGATCTCCCTTGCTTAGCTGCGGCCCACAGGGACGCCCCTGGAGGCCTTTCTGCGGGCGGAGCTGTCGACCCCCTGCCTGGGCCCGGATCCCTGGGCTCGGGGTGTAGTGCAGGTTGTGGATCGAGGGGCTGTGTGTCCCCACTGGAGCGCACGCTGGGCTCGTGGTATGCGCGGGCGCCTCGCTCTTTTCCGCGCTTTGGGGAGATCGTCGTGGTATTCTATAGCCGCCTACGTTGAAGCGAATAATCCAGAGTATTGTGTTTGCGCTTCTGGCCCCTGCCCTGGAGTCCCGGGAAAATTCTGGGCCTTTCACTTATGACCAAACAATGGGGAACCCGGGGTCGCGACGTTAGCCGGCGGAGCCGCGGCTAGAGGAGAGGCCGGGCCGAGGCGGCAGCCGCGCCGCCCCTCCCTTCCTCCTCCCGTCGCCGCCCCGCTCCCCCAGCCTCTGCCCTCGGAGGGGGATGGCCCCCTTAATGAGGCCCTAAGATCCGGACCCCGGCCGGAGGGGCGGGGCGCTGACGTTCGGGACCTTTCTAGGGGAAAGGGCTGTTCTCAAAGTGGATTCCAACTCCCCCGGGGGCAGAAAGCGGGGCTACACCCCTAGCCGCAAAGCCACAACCAAGTACGATGTGGACGACACGGATTCGCAGTCCTCGGGGTCCCCCTCCAACTGCTTCGGATTCCTGGCCTATTCCGTGAAATCCGGAGAGAAAGCGCGACTCAAAATTAGGACTTTAAACCATCAGCCAGTCTTTTCTAGCGTCACTCGGCCCGAGCGCTCTCAGTCTCCGTCTCCAACTGCAACTCCGTCGCCCTCACCCAAAAAACTACGGTGTGTGGACCAGCGAGAGCCGGAGATCGAGGAGAATCCTGAATACAGGCCAAAAAAGAGGAGGGCTAAAGTAGAAAGCGGCCCCAGAAATATTACCGAATTCCGGTGGTTGGGGTGAGTGACGAGCAAAGAGGACTCCGGAGCCAGATATGACCTGTCAAGTCTTCTAGATGTAGTAGACACGTGTTGTTGGGTCTCCTCTAAGACTTGACAGATGAGGTTCTCCTCCTCCCCAAGGGGGAAGGGTGAGGCTGTTGGAAGAAGCAGCAGTTATGTTTTCAGCTGGGCAAACATGGATGGTTGCCCATAGAAACTTTGCCACTGTACTTGAGAAAGTTGCCCAAGTTATTGAAGGAGAACAATATGTTCCCTTTGCAGCCACCCTGGGCCTTTGGGGGTTGTGGGGAGGAGGGAAAGAACGTTTCCTCTTGTTGAAGCTGTTTTTGTAGCCTTAGAGTTTCTCTTCTTGCAGGAGTTTTGTGGCATGAAAAGAACTTGTTTTTAGCATGAAAAGAACTTTTGAAATTCCAGATCTTCTTGGTTTAGACATTGTCTACTGTTGTTAGATGCCATCAAGTTGTTTTCCTGGCCCTATGCACAGCAGAAGGAAGAACTGCCAGGGCTTGTGCCAGCTTCACAATTTGAGCCCACTATTGCTGCCATGGAGTGTCAACTGTCTTGAAAGTCTTCTCCTTTTTTTGCTGACACTTCACTTACCAAGCCTGAGATCTTGGTTTAGCAGTGGGAATTCCTAATTATTTAAAAAGTTGCTCTAGTGGTACTGGAGTATCTGGGAGATGTTGTGGGTTTGGTTCCAGATCACTCACTGCAGTCAGCCAGATGTCATCGCCATAAAATGAGTCACGTGACCTTTTGATGTTGGTTTGTTTGTTTCCCAGTACATGTAAATGTTATGGTTACACTTGTACTGTAGTTTATTAAGCATGGAATGGCATTATGGAAATGTTTGAAATATTGTGATAATTACCAAAATGTGACACAGAAATTTAAAGTGAGCACATGCTGTTGGAACAATGACACCAATAGACTGACTTGATGCAAGTTTACCACAAACCTTCAGTTTGTAAACACAGTTATCATTAAAATGCAGTAAAGCAAAGTACAATAAAATGCATCATGCTTGTATTGTCATTCTCAAACTTAAATATGAGCCCATGTTCTGAAATGAGAATTTAGCATCAGACCAGTAGAAACATGCTCACCTTGGAATAAATTTGGGTTGCTAGTTGTTGTTATGTGTTAATGTGGTAAAAACTGCAATCCTTTTATTTCATTTTTATAGAACACCTTGAGTTGTCTTATTCTTTTAGCCTTGTATTTCATCCTTAGATCTAAATGTTTGGGTCAGTTCCTGAAAAAGAAGGGAGAAATCTCCAAAAAGCCACTTTTATTAAGACCACAACTAGAATGAAAAGCAAAGGGGTGGGGGGTGGAACTCACCCAGAAAACATAGCAGCAAAATCTTTCTGTGTCTGTATTAGTATTACACCTTGGTTTTGTAAACTTCTGAATCCTAGTAGTTTATTTTTGCCTGTAGTATCTTAGTATAAAATGCTTTCTAAATAATTCTTTTGCCTTGGCTACACTGAAGGGACAAAGGTTAGTCCTCACAAGTCTAGATTCTAGCTTGGTGGAAGCCTTGAATTTGAAGGAGCTACAGAACATCAACCTCGGAACCCAAGGATGCAGAGAAGAGGGCTTAAGGGGGTTACCACCAATGCTTTGGTCTTTTCTCCAGCAAGTACCTTTATTTTCTTCAGCAGGTGGTGATCACATTTTTATAGTCCCTCTACAAAGAGATTTCTTTATCTAACAAAAAACTTTAATCCCTTTGGAAAGCAGATTAGATAAATACACCTGTGGGTGTGTGACTTCAAAGTGGACTCTGACATCTTAAGGGTGGTGGTCTCCTTTGCTTTCGTTGGCCCTCTTGAACCGATACCACAGGGAATTTGCATTTGCTGTTCTTTACCTTTTTTTTTTTTTCCCCCTCTCCCCAGAACATCTTCCACCATGGCCACCTCAGCAAGTTCCCACTTGAACAAAGGCATCAAGCAGATGTACATGGGTCTGCCTCAGGGCGAAAAAGTCCAAGCCATGTATATCTGGATTGATGGCACTGGAGAAGGACTACGCTGTAAGACACGCACCCTGGAGAGTGAGCCCAAGTCTATAGAAGGTAAGAGCTTGGGCAGGGTAGGGTATACTTTGTGTGGAAGCAGTGTGGAGATAGGTAGCTAGCTACCTTGAAACCAGGTTTTTCTAAGGCAGTCTTTACAGACTTCTTCCAGTCAACATTCAGTAAGCACTGGACTGCTAACCCACCAGCTGCTCTTTGGAAATGCTACATAGCAGGAGTGGGGAACCTTTTTTTCTGCCAAAACTGATAAACATTTGCAGATCATTCAAAGTTGTTACCTAAAAATTAGCCTGCAATATTTGGTTAAACATTTTAACTCACCCCTGATGTGATGATGTGATGCTGTGCGTTAATGCGCTGGACTGCGAGGTTGGTTTGAACCGCAAGGGTGGCAGTTCAAGTTTCCCAGCCACTCCTTGGAAATTCTGTACAGGTTTGCTATGGGTCGAAACCGACTCAACGGCACCTAACCACAACAAATGTGATGGAAGTTTAAACCCACCACAGCTGCTCCTTGGAAACCCTCTACAGGGTCTCTATGAGTTGGAACTGACTCAGTGGCACTTAACAGCAACAAGAATGTGATGGAACTGTGGTTGCCTTCTCAGGGCCAGACCAAATGATTTTGCAGGCCTTATATGACTTGCGGGCCAGATAGTCCCCAGCCATGCTATATAGGGTGGCTGTGGAGTCCTGGTGTGGCACTGTGAGTTGATGCGTCAGATTGCAAAGCTATTTGAACTTCAAGGTCGGCGGTTCAAGTTCACCGCCTGCTCAACGGCATTTAACAACAACACCATGAGTCAGAACTGACTCGACGGCACTTAACAACACCATCTTGAAGCATAGCAGCAGTTGTTGTTAAGTTGCTGTTGAGTTGGTTGCAACTCATAGCGTCCCTTACAGCGTTTCTGAGGAGTGGCTGGTAGGTTTGAACCAGCTTACCCTAGAGCACCATGCCCTTTATTGAAATGGAACCTTACTTGTAAGCCAGTATATTGAAGAGTTCTGGTTTGTGGAGTCATGGACTGGAAACCTTGTTGACTTGAGCATCTAAGCATTCAATGCTAGCTGTCAGCTTGGCACTTCTAACCTTGGAAGATAGATTTGGTGACGACAACCCTGAAAACTCTATGGAGAAGTTCAGTTCTTTATACACAGTTGTCCATGGGGCACAATCTACTCTTACTTGCTTCCACTAAACCAATTGCTTCTGATTCTGACTTAATAGCCTTTCAAAGTGCCTCTGGGTAGTCTGACCTACCAGTTTTTTGGATTAGCGGCTGAGTAACTTAAAAATTGGCACTAGAGTTGTGACTTTCACTAGTCTACAAGCTGTTACACCCCACCCCAAAAACCACATCTTCTGTCTGCTTTAATGTTCACATTTCAGTGAGTGAATGAATGAGTTACTATTACAAGGGATGTATCTGCTATATGACGGGCACTGGAAAGGTGTGGGTGTGTGAGATTAGGGGCTGAGACAAAGGAACCAACCTTTAAAACATGCTGGAGAAAGTACGTCAATAGATTAACTTGCTCGTGGTAGGATGGATTAGTGATAAGGAAGTATCTCTGAAGAGGTTCTAGCTCTGGTCTTCTGTTTCTGCATCTATAAGACACACCTTGAGCTAGAACAATCCATACACTCAGTGGGGAAAAGAATTTCAGAAAGAACACAGCTAGCCTAATGAGAGACTCTTTCCTCTGTCTCAATATTTCAGATGATGGCTGGCTCATTCATAAAGTCAGAATCCTTGAGTTTTGTGTCCTTGGAACCCAATAGTCTTACTTAGAGGAGAAACAGCATTTTTTAGTTAAATTTGTTTTTGGTAGTCACTGTAGGAATAAGTGCAGAGAGATTCATATTTGTTTCATGTTGGTGGTAGCAGTTAGGCACCACTGGCCTTTCAGGGAAGGAGAGCTCTAGAGAGAGAAATTAGAGGGAGGGGCTTTATTTTTGCCTGGAAAGCTCATGTGCACTTTAAACTTAATTTCCCCTCCTCTTTTTACCTCAGAGTTGCCGGAGTGGAATTTTGATGGCTCCAGTACTTTCCAGTCTGAAGGCTCTAACAGTGACATGTATCTCATCCCTGCTGCCATGTTCAGGGATCCTTTCCGCAAGGACCCCAACAAGCTGGTGTTGTGTGAAGTCTTTAAGTACAACCGAAAACCTGCAGGTATGTATGGGGTGGGTATGTATGCTCCCTTTCCTGTCCGTCGCTGCTGTACAGGGAAAGGAGAGGACATTCTGCAATCAGTTTTGGAAGGGGAGTTTTAAAAGAACCTGGGGGCATTGGACACACACATACATCTCTTTTCACTATGAACTTCCTTTTTTACAAAGAGGTAATCATAACCCATGCTTCTGTGGTCTTCTGTCTACTTCATAAAATGGCAAGAATTCTTCGAATATTGTTTTCCTATAAACACATACCTTTTTAAAATACAAGGTTTTTTGTTGTGTACCCTCAAGTCAGTTAAGACTCGTAGTGACTTGTTATGACAGTAGAACTGCCCCATAGGTTTTTGGAGGCTGTAATCTTTACAGGAGCAGATCACCAGGTTGTTTAAGTCTTAACATGGTGCCTGGGACATAGTTAAGCAATCATCATTAAGCCTTATGTTAGTGTAAAGTTCACTTCCAGCTTGGAAATTTGAGTCCAGTTGGGCTTATCTCATTTTTTTTCCTAGGTTTCTTTTGCCCTAGCCAAAACTGTTTAATTTAATATTTTCTCCCGGCAAATAAGCCCTCTTACTGGACAAAAGACCCTCTCAAAAACTTGTTGGTCTGGTTCTATATTGCCTGTGAAACTAGGAAGAAGACTCAACTTGAAGCAGCTGTTTTGTGAGTAGAGGTTAAGTTTAAGTGCCTGGCCATTTGTATTTGAGAGCTAGCCAGCATGCAGATAAGGTGAAATGTGTTCTGTTCTGGGATCACTCCCATGTGACTTGATTGTAACTGAGTTTAATTATAACCAAAGTCTTTGCTGGAGTCTTGACTATAAAGGTACAGTTACTGCTTCTCTCATTTCCCTTTACTTCCTAAAGTTCAGGAAGCAAAAATGTTTCTTCAGCTCTGTGTAGACTGAATAACCTCATCTCCATCTGATCTGAGAACTGTGGCTCAGCACGTGATCTGTACCTTCCTAATGGCATTATTGATGTTTTTATTCTAGAGACCAACTTAAGGCATACCTGTAAGCGCATAATGGACATGGTAAACAGCCAGCACCCCTGGTTTGGAATGGAGCAGGAATATACCCTTATGGGGACAGATGGGCATCCATTTGGTTGGCCTTCCAATGGTTTCCCTGGACCTCAAGGTAAGTCACTCTGAGTGAGAGGTGTACCTAATCCTCCCCAAGGGCTTCATTGACAAAGAAGGCTCCTTTTCCCAGAGATGGGAGTGGTTCTGTCAGAATCAAAATCTGTGGGAGTTTCCCTGAATTGGCTGAGATAATCCTGTAAAGAAACACAGCCTTCCCACTGCCCAATTGCAGACGCTGAGTCTGTGCAATGACTGATGGGAGGTGGCTCTCTGAACCCCCTGTGGTTCTGCCTCTACAGGTCCATATTACTGTGGTGTGGGAGCAGACAAAGCCTACGGCAGGGACATTGTGGAGGCTCATTATCGGGCTTGCTTGTACGCTGGCATCAAGATTGGGGGAACGAATGCTGAGGTCATGCCTGCCCAGGTAATCCATCACCTTCCCCATATCTGAAGAGTTCTGGGTAAGCCTTATGCTGAAAGGTGTGGGTTAGAGTAGAGGTGGGAAGAGACTATTGTTGAGAAGCTTCTGTGGTGGAATTATCAGTGGGCTTTATTTTAAAGGCAAATTCTTGTTTCTAGTGGGAGTTCCAGATAGGACCCTGTGAAGGAATCAACATGGGGGATCATCTCTGGGTGGCCCGTTTCATCCTGCACCGTGTATGTGAAGACTTTGGAGTGATAGCGACTTTTGATCCTAAGCCCATCCCTGGGAACTGGAATGGTGCAGGTTGTCACACCAACTTCAGCACTAAGGTCATGCGAGAAGACAATGGTCTGAAGTGAGTGTCTTCTGCTAGGGCCAGAGAGCTTGGGAGTAGGGGGTGGTATCAATTTCAGCAAAACCTTACTTGAGTGCCTGCCACATTTTTTGTGTATTGGGGATGAATATGCCGGGCTTCTTCAGCCCTTATGGAATGTTCTATTGTGTGTTGTCAACTTGATTCCGACTCATAGCAACTCCATGTCACCGCTTGCTTCCCTGTAGGCTTTTCTAGGCTGTAATCTTCATGGGAGGAGCTCTGGTAGTGTAGTGGTTACCAGTTGGGCTACTTACCTCAAGATCAGCAGTTCAAAACTACCAGCTGTTCCGTGGGAGAAAGAGGAGGCTCTGTGCTCCCGTAGAGATTGATAGCCTCGGAAACCCTATGTAGGGTCACTATGAGTAGGAACCGACCGACACACCACCACCATCACCAATCTTCATGGGAGCAGATTCCCATGTCGTTTCTCTTGAGGAGCTGTTGGGTGTTCATATCACCAGCCTTTCACCCTCACACCACCACTACAAGGACACCTTGTGATTTGTTGTTAAAGTGCCACCAAGTTGGTTCCGACTCATAGCCCCTTATAGAGTTTCAAAGGAGCAGCTGGCATGTTTGAACTACCAACCTTGTGATTCACAGTCTGGTGCTGATCCTACAGTGCCACACCAGAAGTCCCCTTGTGTCTACTGGGACCATATTTTGGAGCCTGGTGAACTTGGCTAACAGTTTGGTAGCTTAGTCATCCTGCTTCCCCCATTTCTTTGACTCCATAGCTGTTCTCTGAGCAGGCAGGTTTCTTGGTGACAAACTCAGACCCATCTATTGTGTTCCTCTAGGTACATTGAGGAGTCCATTGAGAGACTAAGCAAGCGGCACCAGTACCACATTCGTGCCTACGATCCCAAAGGGGGCCTGGACAACGCCCGGCGCCTAACTGGATTCCACGAAACCTCCAACATCAACGACTTTTCTGCCGGCGTGGCCAACCGTAGCGCCAGCATCCGCATTCCTCGGACTGTCGGCCAGGAGAAGAAGGGTTACTTTGAAGACCGCCGCCCCTCTGCCAACTGTGACCCCTACTCAGTGACAGAAGCTCTTATCCGCACCTGTCTTCTCAACGAGACCGGTGATGAGCCTTTCCAGTATAAAAACTAAGTGGACTAGACCTCCAGCCATGAAACCCCTCCCAGCTCTTCATCCCATGCCCACTGTTCCCTTCCCCCACGTGTTCCTACTAGCTGTAACTCAAAGGGCAGAATATCAAGGTCTTTTTTATTCCTCATGCCCAATTAATAACTCTCACTTTTTTGGGCCAGGGTAGAAGGGTCAGGTTCTTAATCACTTCACACAGACACCCGCCCCCCTTTTCCTCCCTATCACTGAAGCTTTCTCAAAGACTGAGGAATAGTGTGTTAGTGGGGAGGGGGGTGGGGAAACATAACCACTGCTTCCATTTAATCCGGTGTGTTTGTCTAGTAGTCATAGTTTTCCAGACAGAGCGCATATGTTTTTGGGAAGGGAGGAGGGTAGGACTTTTTCTATGAGGGAGCTGGCAGGGGAGGGCCTGGCTTGTTCTGACGTTAGGTCAAGAGTTCCTTCTTTGGGTGGGAAATTTCATTTCTTATAAAGAGTATAACCAACTTTACAATAAACGTGGGGATTAGGAGGGACCAGGAAGGAAAATGCTCTGGGTGTCCCTCTGTTCGACTTTCTTGCCAGGGGCTAAATGGTCCTGGCCTGAAGATTTAACTCAGAATAAACTGATGGATATATCCCTACCTTAAGAGAAGAAAAAGTTCTTATTGCTTGGTCCTCCATTTATAACACAAAGCAGAGTAGTATTTTTATATTTAAATGTAAAAACAAAAAAATTATATATATGGGTGTGCAGATGTGTGTTTTTCTAAGAGGACTCACTGGGAGATGAAGATGAATAGTCTTTTTTGGAAGTAAGGGTCTCCTTTTGAGAAGGGAAGGGAAGGGGGGTGATAAGACTTGAAAAGTTGGCTATTTGGGGCTGTCAGTGCTGTGTGCCCACCCTTCTGAAGGGAGTAGAAACTGATCGGTTAGCAGGTTACTAGTACACCTGAGCCCCACGGCTTTGGTTTCTAGGTTGTAAGACACACATGTACACACACAGGGGTTTAGAAACATGAGTTGGCTGGTCAACTTAAGCATGTTACTGACAAAGGGGGACGGGTTATTTTCTGGTGGGAGTAGCATGTTACTAAAGCAGGCCTTTTGATATATTAAAACTTTTTTTAAAAAAAAAGCAAACCAGAAGTTTAGATTTTAATCATTTGTAGAGTTTCTAAGTCTTCTGTTTTTACAGAATTGCTTGTTTGCTTCAGCTGTCTTGTTATCTCTGATCTTTGAGGAGATGGGGACAGGATGGAGGGCAAACATGTGTCATTTGTATTCTCGTGCCTTCTTGAGTGCAAATACAACTTTCCTTGGTTAAGATTTCTGAAGTTATTTTGCTTTCCTTTTATAATATTAACTCTTGTTTCTTTTTTAAAGCACCCCTAACTTAATCCCTGTGTTTTCCCTACTGTTCTCTGGTTATTTTTGTGCTGGCTGCGGCAGCTAAGCTGTGGTTTCCTCTTGCCATGACGACTTCTAATTGCCATGTACAGTATGTTCACAGTTAGATGACTTCTCATTGTAAACAAATTGTGTAACTGCCTAGAGCAGCTCTTATAAATCAACCTAACATTTATAAGATTTTCTCTGCCTTGATTCTTTGTGGTTCTTGTAAATCCTTATTTGCCATTTCTTTTCTTTCCTACCCTAAAGAGGGAGATTTTAAGAAGCAAAATATGCTCAAGTTTGTCTGCTCTTTGAAGTTTTAGAAAATTTTGAGCCATGTTGCCAACCAGCCTTTTCCAGTACTTCTCTTAAGTTTGGGTGTTTTGGGGTCTTTGGGATTGATGTTTTCCTTTTTTTACCCTCCACCTAAAGAGTACTGGTTTTCGTCATCTTGGCCTGTCCTAGCACTAGATTGTTAAGTGCTGCTGGGCCATTTCTGAGGAGTAGCTAGTGAGTTTGAAGCACTGTCCTTGTGATTAGCAGTCCAGTGCTTACCCTACAGCCCACTTTTCCCCTTGTGTACCAGAATTTAGTATTGACCTACCATGCAATAGACTACTGTTTTGAATTTCCTCCTGGCTTAATGTTATAGCAGCTTAAAGTATTTCATGTGTTATTAATAGTTCTCCCTGTTCCTGCTCATCTCAATTTCATTCTCCACCCAGCTGTCAGTGATTCATGAAACTGCAAATATTGACCACGTTGCTACTGTCATTAAATCCTCTAGAGCTAGGTGTTCTGGGCAGGTCATACCTTTCCTTGCACCAGGCCAGTGAACTGACTGTGATTCCCCTAAAAGTTGATACCTTTATGTCCTTGCTCTTTGTCCTTTTGCCAAAAGGTCTACCTTATCCTAGCCTAATTTCTGTCTCGCTCCTGAATAGCAGTCCCCCCTGCTCCCACATGCCTCTAGGAAAAAGCAAGTATTCCTCCAATATATATTAAACTGAGGTGCCATATGCTGTGGGTGATAGTCATAATTTGTTTTTAAGAGGTATGTGCTCTCAGTTTGGAGGTGATGAACCTGTTAACACAGTTCTTACTGATGAGTTTTCTTAGGGCAAGTGTACATTTTGCTCAGAGTTTTCCTAGGAGGATTGGCTCCTCACATGATTTAATTTCCCAATCAGGATTAGATATTGGTTTTCTAGAGACAATCCCAGTTAAAACACCTGTTTTCCCAGCGTAATTACTAGGATTGTTCTCTTTCAGCATACCTCAGCTCAAGTTGGATTCCCTTCACCAAGTCGCCCCTCTCTCTCTCTGTGTATAAATATATATACATATATACATACACACATACACCTCATTCCCCTGGTTCTTGGTGGGGTGTTATCTACAGAGCCTAATCACTACGTTGAAGAATTGACCCTTAGCACTTGTTCTTCATTCCCACCAATTCCCCTACAAAAGACTACAGAAAGGAATTTCTAAATATGATCAGACTTCCTGGAAACAACAGCCTATTTCCTCTCCACCTCGCCTGGAGTTAGTTTTGACTAGAGGTCACAGTGCAATCCCCTTGTATTTCTAAGGTGTTTTTATAGCTCATTTAACAGGCACTGAGTTACATGATAACTTTATTAGTGATAGAGTAAACAAAATGAGGGCCAAGCCTCCAGCCTTAAAGAGACAGGCAGCATCCACAAAAAGATTTCTCCATTTTGAAAAACCGTTTCCTGCCAGTTATTGGATGAGAGCTAAAAGAGGGGATAAGCGAACAGGAATGTCATGGTACTGATAGAAGATTCCAAGGAGTTCCTTAGATGGGCAGTACTAGGGCCATTTCAAAAGGTGTATCTGTACTACTAGGTAGAATGGTAGGTACAGTGTGTTGGGGCTCTAACTATCTCAGAGGCTTCCATCAATAATCCTAGCTATTGCTTGGCCCTTATGCCAGTGAAGTACAGTCTGGTAAGTAACCTGCTGTCCCCTCAGCAGGACTTTTTGATTATAAACTTCATGAAGGTGGGGGTCTTGCTGCCTTTCTACCTATTCCCAGGTGTGGCACCAGCCCAAATACTTAATGACTAATTTTTAAAGTATCATCTTCGTGGACTTAAAGCTTGCATTTCTGAGTGGTGTCAAATCCCTAAGACCTTGATAGTTTGGGCAGTATTTTAACAGTCACCATAGCCTCAAGTCACAGTTGTTTTACTGAGCTAAGAAAATCAAGCATGATGCTTATTTCTAATGACAAATGTTACAGCACCACTAAAGAGAGGAAAGAGGATTTTATTTGCTTGGTTAATTCTCGCCTGGAGTCAGGCTGCCAAGATCCTCATGTGGCTTTGTGTACACATACACAAATCAACAATATAGACACACCATGTTTGTGTACAGAAACATATGTACATAGTAGATACACAACACTTGTCTCTTACATAGACCTTTTGCCTTAGGATTGTAACTTGCCCTTGCTTTCTTGATTCCACCATATGACATAATTAGCGGGTTTGTTGACTAAACTCCAGTAGGCAGGCATTTGCTAAATCTGAACTCTGCATTGAAGCCTTTCTGCATTTGTCTTTCAGTAAAGGTTCAGGGTAACTTTGAAAATCTCTTACTATACTGCTCTGCTGATACTAAATGGGAGACACATTCAAGATACTGCCAAAAAAATCTATAACGGAATAAGCCCAGTCCTGGTGCGGCATTGTGGGCTAATGCATCAGACTGCAAAGTCATTTGATGCTCACCAGCTGCTCCTTGGAAACCCTATACAGGGTTGCTATGGGTCGGAATCAGCTTGACACAACAACAACCAATAAGTCAAATCTGACTCAAAGTAACCCAATAGGTTAGAGTAGAACTGTTCTGTAGGGTTCCTGAGACAACCTTTACAAGAGCTGAGTGCCTCATCTTTATCCTATGGAGCGTATTGTGGATTTGAACCACTTCTATGCCACCAGGATTCCTTAATAATCAAACAACAGCAAATAACCCCAGCAGACCCACTTGCCATTGAGTTAATTCCAATTCTTAGTCCGTGTAAGGTTTCTGAGGCTAAATCTTTATGGGAGCAGATAGCTTCATTCTCCCCTGGAATGACTTGCGTGCTTGAACTGCTAACTTCGCAGGTAGAAGCCCAACACCTCACCAACACAGCCACCAGGGCTTCTTAACCTATTAAAAGTAAAGTGGGGGCTAAATAGGTGCCATTCTGCAAATATACCTTGTTAAGTGCCACTGAATTAGTTCCGACTCGTGGTGATCCTGTATAGGGTTTCTCAGGAGCAGCTGGTGGGTTTGAACCACAGTCCTTGCAGTTAACAGTTCAGTGCTCATCCTGCACAATGCCACACCAGGACCCCAAATACACCTTTACAGTGCAAATATATGAACTGGGATCAATTGAGTAGAAATTCTTGTCTTCTCTGTGCCCTCTCTCGCAACTAGAAAAGTATCATTGACATTAGCAGATATTACAGGACTTCTGTGCCCATTTTCTTATCCTCAAATGACCTTTTGAGCTACTTTGGCAATTTTACTCAACTCAAGCTTTAAAATGAAATTATATACCATTGAGGGAAAAGAGGGAATGGATTTTATTTATTTTTATTGGAAGAAGTGGACATTTGTCTATTATCTATGAAAAATTTGTGTTCCAATGAGGACCTAAATTTAAAGAGAATACTCTAGAATAATCCACTTTCCCCAGAACCTCCTTTAAAAGAGCACTTAAAGGAA